AACACAACACATACAGCCTGAAGTTCCAAAACTAGCCCAGAATAAGAGAGGTTCAGCTTTAGGTTCTCATGGACTCAAAAGATGATGATGGACAATCCACAACCAACCCCCCCCCCAGTTTTTAAGATACACTGTGACAGATGCTGATGAGGAGCGAAACAGGGTGCCCTCTCCTCATAACATCCTCACCTCCCCAAGTTCCTCCACAGCTCCTGGAAGGGGACTCCTCTTCCCTCATTTCACTCTTCCCCTAATTAACTTCTCCTCAGACTTTATATAGCTGCCCACAAGGAAGCCATCCCGACCTCTGTCTTGTGCAGATTCCCTGATGCAGCCGAATCCCTTATAAGACAATTTTTTGCATAAATGAGGTTTGGGGTCTTTTTTTTTTTTTTTTTTGCAGGCTTTGTCTAGAATCTAAATACCCCAAAGGGAAGGGCAGGGGTCAGAAGGAAGACAGCAACATGGGACAGAAGATGTTGCGTGAGATTTGAAATGAAAGATGTTAAGGGAGCACTGTCAGGTGGGAGGTAACAACAGCTCATATTTATTGACCACTTAGTATAAGCCTGAAGCAATTCAGTCCTTCACTTTTTTGACTGAATCTTTATAACTTCCCTACACAGTAGTTCCTAATGTTAAGCCCATTTTAGAGATGGGGACATTGAGAAACAAAAAAGAATTCTCTTCCTCAGGGTTATACAGCTAGAAAGTGGTGATGGCGGGCCTCCAACAGTCAGAATCTGGGGTCTTTCCTCTTGGCCATCATGCTCCGGGCCTCTCAGAGCCACTCGGGGCCATGTGCTTGGTGAAAAAGGTGAGCATGTTGAGAAAGGTGAGCTGGTCACAGGAAAGTCTGTAGGCAGAGAACAGAGCATGAATGGGAACTGGAATGCACAAGGGTGGTGGTAGGCAGCAGCCAGTAAGGAGAGACAGGATGAAGATGATGGTTCCTGAGGGAGGCGCTGTTAAAAAGCTTAGACACTTCAGAGGACACAGTAGAAGGAAGATGGATGATACAAAGCTCAACAGGCTTGGCACTTAGGGTCTTAGATGATAGATTGATAGGTAGATAGATAGACAGATAGATATAGAGATAGATATAGATAGATATATAGATAGAGATATATTTTAGTACTCATGATCAAAGCCAGGGCCTCATGCATGCATGCTAGACAAGCACTCTGGCACCCTAGCCTTCCTAGTGACCTTTAGGAAAGCATTTTCTGAAAATTGGCCTGGCAGCCCATAGAGGGGAAGAAGCCATTGGAGTAGGAGGATGACAGAGAACAGGGTTCTGAGGCTTGGCCATGAGAACAGGAGACAGGACATCCAAAATGGAAAGCAGAGTTCCGGTGAGACTGTCCCGTGGGACATGGACATGTAAGCCAGCTGGAACAGGAAGATGGAAGAGTTAACAGATAACATAACTTTGCAATGAGACAGGAGACCGTCCTCATCCATCCCTATGCTCAGAAGGGTGAGTCAGTTTGCACCAACCCAGAAAACACTTTCTGGAGCACTTACTTCTTCCCCAAGACTTTATCTCTGAGCAGTTCCTGATGGTGCAGAATTACCCAAGGAGTTGGTCCGGGGCCAAGGATCACAGAATAGTAAGCTAAAAATGATCCATCTCACAGTCGAAGAATTTTGGGACTCTTGGCTGAAGAAGGTCCATTTCCTTGAAGCTAAAACTTCTTAGATCTTTTTATGCTAATGGACAACCTTAAGCTTATCTAGAGAATTTCAGGCTTCCAATTTCAGGGCCTGCAGAATCTTTGTGTCCTGGACCGCTTGGCAGAATTAGCACTGTTACGTGCTAAATTGGAAAACAGTGTTCATCCACTAGCAGGAAAAACATCCCCACTGGTTTCCGTAAATTCCTGCTCCAGGTAAAACAAGAGTAAAGTTACTCCAGTGAAGTGTGTGGGCTTATCTCTTCCCTCACGCACATTCTAACTGCAAATTTGCACCTTTTCTGGATTCTCACGATACACAGTGAAGGTCCTTCAATGGAAGAGCTGTTTCAACGGGTCTCTCAGAATGCTTATTTAACATGAAAGCTCAGCTGGCTCCCATATGATCCTTCTTTGAAGAAAGAAAACCAGCTTTCTATGCAAGAATCCAACAATGATGTCACTAAAAAAATGATTTTGTTCACACCAGAATAGCCTGGGCCGGATTGTACTGCACAGTGACTTGTGCAGTGGTGTCCTGCATACTTTGAAAGAGATTATTTGTGATGTTCAGTGTCAAGAAAGGCACACGATGGTTAAAAAAGGCAAGGCCACAGTGACACCAACCTTAGCTGGGATGATGCCTGAGAGAGCGCCCAATGCCTCCCTCCTCATGTGGCCTAAGTGAAACGGGAGCAAAGAGGCCTGGCATTTACTGAATGTTCTCTGTGTGCTTAGGAAGGGCAAACAGAGAACAGTTTTTGTTATGAGTCACAGGCAAAGGTATTTGACAGGATTTTTAAAAAATGAGAACGATAGACTGGGGATATAGCTCAGCGGCACAAGCCCCTGCTTGGCAAGCACAAGGTCCTGAGTTCGATTCCTGGTATAAAAAAAAAATGAGAACCACTAATATCCCCAAGGAATACAGTCCTCCCTTGGTAAAGGCTATGAAGAGCTGAGATCAAGCCCACCACTGTCCATGCCCATATTATAAGGATAGGAATCTACCAAAAAGAGGATCTGCAACCTGAGTGGCCACCAGAATGTGCAAGCCGAGTTGGAAAAAAACAGAGGTGAGGGTTTCTGCCCACTGCGTGCTTCTCTGATGTGTCTGCAGGCACCCAACCCCAGGCCCTTCGAGGCTTCCTGAACCACATATCTGATCGCGTGATTGTGAGGCACTAGGCACCAACGGCAAAGTTCACCCTTCCCCTTGTGGAGCCAATTCTCCTGCCAACTCACCAGCTATCTACGTACCGCAGAGATTCTGAGACTGTGATAGCAGACTCAGAAGTGCCATGGGAAAAGGAATGAGGAAGAGGCATGATTTTTTCACTCTCGGGGCAATCAGCTAGAACTCCCTGGCTAACTTGTCAGGCTACTCACTTCTAAACGCAGTCTACCAATGCCCAGTCTGGGCCTGTCATGACAGAGGCCACCTTCCTGCTCCGATTGGTGATGATTCTATTTTAATTTCACTCACTGGGCATCATTTTAATATCTTCTGCTTTGTTGCTGAAAGCTCATACTGTCAATGCTCAACAGCTTAAAATTATACCCTGAAACCTACTCCCCAGGCTAATTTGTCTACCTGTTTGATATGGAAAGCTGGGGACACAAAAATCCACATGAGTCAAGGCCACCCAGGTTTTGAAGCCTGCTTTGGGAGGAGTCCTCCTTGGATGTCTAGGTTCCTTTACACTGAGGGGAGATGCAGAGTGACCTCATCACAAGAACAGGAAGAAAAATCATTATGGAAGTGAGGTTTCATGGCCTGCAACTTTTTCTTCAGGTTAAAAGTGTTCCAAAGGAAGCCCAGGCTTAACCAGGTAGCGGGTGCAAGAGGGGAATCTAGGGAGCTGGGAGTAGCAGGAGGGAAACACAGGCTTGTGGGAAATTTGCCAGGGTGGAACAGTTGGAGACGGAGACTTTATGGAGGACAGATGAAACCAGAGGTGACTGTGACGAGGCTCAGGAGACACATCTGGAGAGCTGCAAGCAGTGCTGCAGAGATTTCTGTGAATGGCAAACAGCAGCTCTCCACTGCAATCAAGTAACTATGCAGGAAATAACTTCCGCCTGAAACCCGGATCAAATCTGGGGTGCAAAGCCCAGAAAAGGCTTGGCTTCTTCAGAAGAGCCACAGAAAAAGGCACATTTTCCAGGGTGGAGAGCTAGCAGGAAGTTCTCCACTAGCAAGAAGCAGGAAAGTCACAAGGGAAAAACAGTAGTGAATCAAAGGAAGGCACACTCCTTGGCTGTAAGTGACCTACCGTCTGTGGCCACTTTCACATGATACGGGCAGAGGTGAATAGTTAGAACTGGGACCAAATGGCCCACATGGCCTAAAATGTTTTCTGTTTTACCCTACACATGAAAAGTCCCCTTATCTAGACACTGACTCTAAAGCTGGCTGGATTTGGGCAAGAGGCACAGGCTGTACAGGACAGGCCGCTGGTGGCAAGTGGAGACCCATTAAAAAATTCCTGCCAGGGAGCCAAGGCCATTTCAGGTTCACAAATGACTGAACAAAAGGTATGGACACTCCAAGTTCACTAAACTGCCAAGGAACAGCAGAGGGAAGAAACCGAAGGTATAAAGAGGTGTGAGGCTATGTCCTCGTCCCCTACAACCTGTGGGGAACAGCCCAATGCACTCCCCAAAAGGGCCCACCCTTCTGAGATACTTTTGAGAAGCTGCTTCACTGAGTGGCACTCCAGGGTCTGGTGAGCAAATAAAAGACAAATTTCAAAAAACTGGAACCTACTGATTGATTAATTAAAGTATATTTATTTGAGCACCACCAAGAAATTATCACTAAACACTGTTCTTATTACCCCATTTGTGGGCATGTGAGCATGCACATGTGAACACACAGATATAATTTCTTAATAATGCTCCAATTAGTTAACACACACACACACACACACACACACACACACACACACGTAGTTATTTATGTAATTTGTGCCAACCGTTTAGCAATACAAATGATTTACATCCAAAGATTGATAAATATACTTTTTTAAATTGCTGTGTCCAATAACAAGATAATCTTTCCCCATACAATTCAATTTTAAAAATACACAAAGTAACCAGCATGTTCTATTTTCTCTACAGAACTTGTCAGATATGGTCTCCCAGTCCTGTCATACTAAGGACCATGCGTATGTTCCAAGCCCATCCTCGGAGGAAGTCCGAGAAGGAAGATGCCCTCCTAGACCACATGAAATGGACCCATCATCCTTGGTACATGTTGCCACAATCCACATGATCGTCTAACAGCACAGTTCCCAGATACCACGCCCACCCAAGGGTTACCTTTTCTAATTGTATCCCGGTTTTCTTCCACTTCTCTGTTGACTCGATTCTGTTCTGGCTCAACAGCAGGCCCTTGGTCTTCGAGTTCATCTTCGGTTTCGTCATCACTGTAGGGAACCACTTCATCATTCGGCTGAGAATCTTCCTCAAATGTTGTTTCTGAGTCTCTTTCTGTATTCATTCTGCTGGCAAAATGGAACTACCTGGTTGAAAACAAAGGAAAACCGGAGAGAATACTGACTCTTGCCCAGCTTTGGGTTGAATCCTACCTACATCCTGTTACAATAACCTTTAACAGAATGTCACTGCACTAACGTGAAATACTTCTACATGATGGCCCAAAACTTCACCTTAATATGCAAACAAGAACATTCGTTATTAATTCAATTCTCATGTAATTATATATATCTCAGCAAACCTGTGTGTGCGTGTGAGCATGTGTGTAGCTGGACCTCAACTGCGCTAAGCAAATGCTCTACCATTGAGCCACACCCCCTACCTTTAAAGACAGGTACACAAACTTAAAGCAAATTGTGGGTTTCTACCCAGTGAAATAAATTTAGCGGGTCACAACCAACATTAAAATAAATGAAATAGACAAAAAATAACAAAATATGGTCCACATAAGAGTAGGTACTGTTTGGTAAGTTTTACAAAAGGGACACATACACATTTATTTGCACTGCGGTATTCATGGAGTTGGGAGTCTTTCTATGGATGGTGCAGAGTTGGAAACCACCCCCTCAAGAGTTCCGGTTTTGGCCAATACTAATACTCTGAGCCTTTACTCTGTGACACTTTTAAAATATAACCATAAAGACTCAACAGTTTCCAATGACTTTCAGGGAACACTCTCTCATCTTCCTAACTTCCTAACTACCACCACCTACTCTCCCTATCTACTGCTGCACAAAGTGACCCTGTACAGCCAACAAGGACACCCTTTGTTATATTTATATTGAGCAAATATTTACACAAATACCGCAGATTACATGAGGAGAGACGTAAGGCCTGGCATTATTTACACAAGCATCGCACAACCATGTACTCAGCATTGTTACCAATAGCAGCTCACGTTTATAACCATAACTGCATGCCAGACCCTGCACTAAAATCACAACAGAGGGACCTTGAGTCGTCCCACACCACACTGAAGTTATTATTACTTGTTCTCTGCAGAGAAGGAAACCCAAACTTTAGGATATAAAATGACTTCACAATAATTATTAAAAATTTGCAGCAAAAGCACCTGCATTCCAAGGAGAGACCTTCTAGACTCTATTTTTATGTCATAGCTTATTACGTATTTTAATTGAGCATAAATTGCCCTGAGTGAAAATACGTTAGCTGCTTGCAGCTCTTACACTAAATGTAGCATTTTGGACATAAAAATAATTTGTGTATGCCCAAGTGAACACTTAGGAAAATTTGAAGTATTTATATGGAGATTTTTTTTCCCTGAGTACTATTTAAAACAGTAAAAGCCAGAAGCAACTTGGCTATCCAATACTTGTGAATTGTAGGAGATTGTGTCCTCATACTATAGGATAGTGCATGGTGTCCAAATGTATTAACCTGAAAATGAGCTCTAGAGCAACATGTACAGAACAGTCCCAGTTATTCACACAAAATTTCATCAGATGAGCACACTTTTAAGATGATCCACACAAAGGTTCAACTCAATTAACAGTTACAGTAAGTCCTTGATAAAGATTAGTGATTATTGTTGTGAGCTATTATTCTTACAAATAGAAAAGTGTTATTTACAATAGCAAATACAAGGAGTGGTCTGTCCCTTTAAGTTTTTCCATCTCTAAAATTAGTTCTAAAATGTATCTGTCGGGCGTATGATATAGCTCAGTGGCACAGCACCTGCCTGGCAAGCGCAAGGTCTTGAGTTTGACTCCTGGTACAAATAAATAAATAAATAAATAAATAAATAAAATAAATCTGTCCTTCATCAAGAAAATAGTTCTATTATCCCCTTAAAATATGAGTATACCTAATGAATGTACGTAGGTTAAGCACAGGTGTAAAAGCTTTTGCCCACTAAGAATAATTCTATTCATCTCCCTTTCTTTTTTTTCTTTTGGTGCAAATGTGAACGGCCAGTAGACACATCTACTTTTAGTTCACTTTAGTTTCGTTTCAGCTGTAAGGTAAAACACATTCTCCTCTTCTCAGATTTTCTGTGGGTTTACAAATTACTATTTCTTGAGATTTAACACAAATTAGCCTTATTTTGTCTTGTAATATACTGTAGAGGCAGTTATGCTTTAGCTAATATTTATATGTAATGTATTATCTTAAAAATTCCCAAATTCTTAAAGGTAAAACATTCACCAAGAAAATTTCAGAACAAAAGTAATGAAAAATAGTCACCATTTTACTGAGCTCCTGCTCTGTGAAGAACTGGGCAACCCTGTCAGGTAAGCATTATTATCCCATTTCACAGATACCAAGCCTGAGGTGGACCAATGAGTGGCAGTCTAGGATCTCTACTATGGCAGTGTATATAACATTCAAAATCTGAAAATACAATGTAGAAATAATACATATATAGCCTTTTAACCATTGTCTTAGCCTATTTTCTATTGCTGTATATGTCAGAGTACCTGAGATTAGTCAATTAATGAAGGATAGAGGTTTATCTAGCTCATAGTGCTAGAGACTGGGAGGTTTAAGAACACTGTATCAGCTGCTCAGACAGCTGGTAAGGGTCTTTCTCATACATCATGACACGCAGAGGGCATGGCGAGACTAAGCAAGCATGCCAGCCTGGGTATCTCTTCTTAGAAAGCCACTAATGGCTACCTAGGGACCTCATGACCTCATTAATTCTAATTATTTGCCAACTATCCCACTTCCAAATACCATTAGCATGTGACTTTGGGTTAAATTTAGAACACATGAATTCTGAGACACATACCCAAGCCACGACAACCATTTTTAAATTTAGAGTTCAGTGGCACACAGCGCATCTGTATTGACACTTGGTCAGGGACCAGTTTCATCATTGCTACCAAGTTCTCAAATGTCTGGATGCAGAGTTCCGAAAATAGGACACTAAGTTCTTTAAGGCTGAGGGAAAGGGCAGACAAATACAAAGGAAAGGATCCAACAACCCACATGTATATGCTCCAAAGTAAGTAAGGCCTGGAATAACCAACCACCCTACCACCCCGGCAGGTCTGTGCAAGCTGAAGTAGTAAGCAGAGGGTGGGCGTTCTGCAGTGCGTGTGTGTGCGTTCGTGCATGTGTGTGCGTGTGTGTGCGTGTGCATGTAATACAGAGAGACATGCCAATAACTTAGCTTTGTTGCTTTAGATTACCAAACTAAGAAGAATCACTTCTTTGAAGCTCTAGATTTAAATCTTAACCCATAAAGCCAGATTCTATAGATAGTATGAAGACTGCTCCAGCACACTGCAAACAGGTACTCATTTACTCAGCATCTGCTAAGCAAAGTACTACACCAGGTTCTCAAAACTGAACCACAAAAGGGCATCCAGATCACTGAGGGGCACAGATAGAACATACAGCAAGGTCAGTCACATCTGCCCCAAGAATGCCTCAGGCCACCATCATTTCCTTCCCAAAATGCTGCAAGAGGTCTCTACCGTAATCAACTTCCTCCTAGTCACCAGAGTCATGCTATCATCCTTCTTCACACATGTTACAGATTAAACACACAGACTCTCCTATGTGCTACAGATCTCACTGTGGCCCCTCTTTCCCCAGTGCACATGTTCAAACCCTAACCCCGCAGCATGACTGTATTTAGGAGGCATTTAAGGTTAAATAAGCTCAGCAGAGCGGGCCTTAATCCAGTGAGACGAATGTCATTATAAGAAAAACAGAATCTGGAGAGGTCTCTCTCCCTCCACATGCATGCAGAGGAAAGACCGTGTGAGAACACAGTGCTAAGGTAGCTACCTACAAGCCAGGAGACTGGCCTCACCAGAAACCAACCCTGCTGGCATCTTGTTCTGAAACTTGCAGTCTCCAGAACCACGGGAAAACAAACATCTATTGTTTACACCACCTGGTCCGTGGTATTTTGTATGGCAGCCTGAGCAGACTAATACACTTTTGTTTCAAATGGTACTTTAGATTAAACCCATATTCTTTCCCTCAAAAGCTTACTGCAGAGCAAGGCACAGTGGTGCACGCCTGTAATCTCAGCACTCGGGAGGCTGAGGCAGGAGGATCCTTGCGAGTTCAAGGCCAGCCTGGGCTACAAAGTGAGCTCAAAGCCAGCCTGAACTGCACAGTGAGACCCTGTCTCAAAAAAAAAAAAAAGCTTACTGCAAGGGCTGTGCACACTCCTACAGCCTTCTGGTCACTACTCCTCAGCTCCACACCTTGCACTTAATTCAAGGCAAATCCACCTACATTCTCTCCCAAGTGTCCCAGTGCTCAGGGTAATCCCATTCTGGATAGCATCACACTGAATGTTAAAACAGTTACAGAACATTGCATTCTTTTTTTTTTTGTGGTGCTGGGGATTGCACCCAGGCCCTCATGCATGCTAGGCAAGTGCTCTACCATGAAGTACATTCCAGCCCTATTCACAGAGCTGGAATTTCTATCCCAATGCACATGGTTACCACAGAATGAACCATGCCAACGTTGGGATGTGAGTGAGTATGTGGCAAATTCACTTTCAAGAAATGAGCCATAGGAAACAAAAAATAAGGATCAGTCTGTGATTACTAGACATGCAACAGGCCATCAGGAAACACAGCTGGGTATCTGGGGATGACTTTACGGTCATGATTTAGTGAGAAGCAGCCAGAATGTTTCTGGCCCAAGTACTTCTGGACCTCTAGCTCAGGAAGTAGCCACCTACTGCACACTTTCCTGCAGGCCTGACTAAAAATAGCAGGGGTGGTAGTAGGAAGCAAGGGGCGTCATTTATATCAGAGTTTGGTACTGGGATTTTCCAACTTTTAAGAATGTGATGTCTCATTTCCTGTCTGGGTCTCCAAAGTATCCAACTCTCTTGATCATAAATTCCAGAATAAAAGAGTTTGGTAAATAGCAGGATTTTCAAACTTTAACCTTTAATATCCATTATATTTGAGTACTTGGCTACCAAATAATTACCAATGAAGTGAATACATGAATGGACTCTCCTGCTCCCTTTGCAGAAGAGGAGACATGGAATGAGAGAAAAAAAGGGTGGAACAGGCAAGAGAGA